GCACTGTAGGAGGGGGACAGCTGAAAACGGAGGCCTCCACCTCTGTTTAATGATGGACGGTCTGTAACCGCTGGCCTGTAAATGAGTGAAAACTGCAGAGTTCTGGCCATTAGATGTAGCTCGTCTGTGTTGGGACATTCTTTTGAACAGTGGCTGCTTTGTTTTTGCTTTTTTACAGGATATAATATTTTTGATGAAACACTAAAAAGGTTGCTTCAGTAAGAAAATTCAACTAGAAATCTGCAACAGGTAAGATGTTAATTATTCATGACCTTTTCACAGATCCTTACATTACAAGGTCAGAAATATGGCTTTAAGAACCATGAGTGCATCTCTGAGTCGGCYTGGTTAAAGGTATTACTGAAGCCTGACAAGAGAAAATAACTTCCTGTTTACTATCGAACAAAGATCTGTTCTTTAGAGCTGCTTTCGTCTTCCAATCCTCATCTCTGCCTCTCCCGTAGCTCATTTAACAAGTCGTTCAGGATGTTAAATGTTCCCTCGCAAGCCTCTGTCAAATTATTTTGAACCATCGCAGATCAACAGATGGTTATTAGGCCAGGCGCTGCCCTTCTCTTAATTTTCCACAGCGTTTACGGGTAATTAAATGCACCACGAGCACACTTCCTGTCCCGGGCTATTTGTCTTCTTCTTGGCCGTCACGGCTGCAAAGATCCATAATGTATGAGCCAATCTGTGGAGGTCTCTGATCTTCGTAAGTCCCACGCAACTGAAAGAATCAGCGCTGACCACTAAAGCCTGAATTATGAATGAGCTCGGATAACAAAAGGAGCGCACGGCAACAGTCAGAAGCAGCAAAACCCGCAAAGAGCCACGGCTGTAAATAGCCCGGTGGCATTTTGAACTGAAGCCTCCGACGCAGACTGTATTTGTTGCTGATAACAGTGCTTTAGAGGGAAAACTTTGGGACTTTTTCAGACTGGCTCAAAAAGGAGCTCCCAAATGTGGAAGGTTATAATCAGGACCCCGTGAGACTGGCAATTTAAATCCAAAGTCTGGTTAAGTGAACGGGCAGGATGTGGTGGAAGTCAGTTCTGTGGGTGAACGAAGAATGCAAAGCTTACTTGACAGTCCCTGAGGTGTTCCTGAGTACGGAGGCAGCGAAGCTCTGGGTGACTCCCACCAAACTGGTGCCGTCCACCTCCACAATCAGATCGTTCACCTGGATCCTGCAGAAACAAAGAGTTAAAATCGTCCTCTCTAAACTCAAACCCACGCGAATCTGCCATCCTGGCAGAAAAGCCCACATTTTTTTCTTTTTTCTTTTTTTGGCCAAAACCAAAAAAGCAAAAATAAGCATCCACACAGCCGGGAATAAATCTACAACCCAGGCTCCGACCTCAGGATATGACTCACGAAGCGGAGGGTTTGCCTCGCAGTTTGGATCAGGATGTTTCAGCGAGGCGTCCTGACGTCGACTCACCTGCCGTCTCTGTGAGCCGCTCCTCCGTCGGTCACCGTCTTCACGAAGATGCCCAGCTTCTCCAGCCCCATGTCGGCCCCCGCGCCCATCCCAATGATGCTGATGCCCAGACCGTCGCCGTCTGAAAGAGAGCCGAGCTGTCAGGACATCCTCCACACGAAGAAAACCGGGGATTTGTTTTGTTTTTGTCGGTTTTGAAATCGAACTGCCTCTGCAAACGAAGCTCCTTCAGGCGACGGGTGTTAGGACTTTTGATCCTCTAACTCTCACTTTTTCACAAACATTTAACTATATTTACAAAAATCTTCCCTCATTTAAACCCCTTCAGCTCCTTTAAATTCCTTTAAAAACTCAAATCTTTTTTAAATCGGCATAGTTTGTTTTACTATTTGTAGCTTTTACCAAGACTTTCACTACTTTGGCTTTTAACTAAGCTAAGCTTTTACTGCTTTTAGCTTTCAGCTAGGGTTTTGGTCAGTTTAACTAAGCTTTTGCTGTTTTTAGTTTTCTACTTATCTGTCTGCTTTTCAGTAGTATTTTCCTACATCTTTTTTTGTTTTCTTTTCTTTTCCTAATTATTATTCATTTATATTAATTATAGAAAAAAGGGGCAGATATTATAAGAT